AACTAACTCTCAGCCCAAGTGACCAGAGCTTAAATTACATTTCTGCTCGTAATTGAGCTCCACAAATTTTGATTTGGACATGTTTACATCGTAATGTATAAAGGTGGAAATGAACATTGAACTGAGTATATCTTTGTCAGTGGTTTTCTTGGTTTCTTGAAGAACAAATCGAGTCCCCATTGTACGATGCTGCGACAATAATTTTACTACCATTAATGTTCAAACCATTCTTATGGACCAACTGCTCATTTACTGCTGTACAAGAAATTTTACCACAAATTATACTCAAATTGTAATGTTTGTAGTTCAACTACAGACAAATTTTTCGTAATAGCAACTGATCTTGGTGTTGAAACTAACTCTCAGCCCAAGTGACCAGAGCTTAAATTACATTTCTGCTCGTAATTGAGCTCCACAAATTTTGATTTGGACATGTTTACATCGTAATGTATAAAGGTGGAAATGAACATTGAACTGAGTATATCTTTGTCAGTGGTTTTCTTGGTTTCTTGAAGAACAAATCGAGTCCCCATTGTACGATGCTGCGACAATAATTTTACTACCATTAATGTTCAAACCATTCTTATGGACCAACTGCTCATTTACTGCTGTACAAGAAATTTTACCACAAATTATACTCAAATTGTAATGTTTGTAGTTCAACTACAGACAAATTTTTCGTAATAGCAACTGATCTTGGTGTTGAAACTAACTCTCAGCCCAAGTGACCAGAGCTTAAATTACATTTCTGCTCGTAATTGAGCTCCACAAATTTTGATTTGGACATGTTTACATCGTAATGTATAAAGGTGGAAATGAACATTGAACTGAGTATATCTTTGTCAGTGGTTTTCTTGGTTTCTTGAAGAACAAATCGAGTCCCCATTGTACGATGCTGCGACAATAATTTTACTACCATTAATGTTCAAACCATTCTTATGGACCAACTGCTCATTTACTGCTGTACAAGAAATTTTACCACAAATTATACTCAAATTGTAATGTTTGTAGTTCAACTACAGACAAATTTTTCGTAATAGCAACTGATCTTGGTGTTGAAACTAACTCTCAGCCCAAGTGACCAGAGCTTAAATTACATTTCTGCTCGTAATTGAGCTCCACAAATTTTGATTTGGACATGTTTACATCGTAATGTATAAAGGTGGAAATGAACATTGAACTGAGTATATCTTTGTCAGTGGTTTTCTTGGTTTCTTGAAGAACAAATCGAGTCCCCATTGTACGATGCTGCGACAATAATTTTACTACCATTAATGTTCAAACCATTCTTATGGACCAACTGCTCATTTACTGCTGTACAAGAAATTTTACCACAAATTATACTCAAATTGTAATGTTTGTAGTTCAACTACAGACAAATTTTTCGTAATAGCAACTGATCTTGGTGTTGAAACTAACTCTCAGCCCAAGTGACCAGAGCTTAAATTACATTTCTGCTCGTAATTGAGCTCCACAAATTTTGATTTGGACATGTTTACATCGTAATGTATAAAGGTGGAAATGAACATTGAACTGAGTATATCTTTGTCAGTGGTTTTCTTGGTTTCTTGAAGAACAAATCGAGTCCCCATTGTACGATGCTGCGACAATAATTTTACTACCATTAATGTTCAAACCATTCTTATGGACCAACTGCTCATTTACTGCTGTACAAGAAATTTTACCACAAATTATACTCAAATTGTAATGTTTGTAGTTCAACTACAGACAAATTTTTCGTAATAGCAACTGATCTTGGTGTTGAAACTAACTCTCAGCCCAAGTGACCAGAGCTTAAATTACATTTCTGCTCGTAATTGAGCTCCACAAATTTTGATTTGGACATGTTTACATCGTAATGTATAAAGGTGGAAATGAACATTGAACTGAGTATATCTTTGTCAGTGGTTTTCTTGGTTTCTTGAAGAACAAATCGAGTCCCCATTGTACGATGCTGCGACAATAATTTTACTACCATTAATGTTCAAACCATTCTTATGGACCAACTGCTCATTTACTGCTGTACAAGAAATTTTACCACAAATTATACTCAAATTGTAATGTTTGTAGTTCAACTACAGACAAATTTTTCGTAATAGCAACTGATCTTGGTGTTGAAACTAACTCTCAGCCCAAGTGACCAGAGCTTAAATTACATTTCTGCTCGTAATTGAGCTCCACAAATTTTGATTTGGACATGTTTACATCGTAATGTATAAAGGTGGAAATGAACATTGAACTGAGTATATCTTTGTCAGTGGTTTTCTTGGTTTCTTGAAGAACAAATCGAGTCCCCATTGTACGATGCTGCGACAATAATTTTACTACCATTAATGTTCAAACCATTCTTATGGACCAACTGCTCATTTACTGCTGTACAAGAAATTTTACCACAAATTATACTCAAATTGTAATGTTTGTAGTTCAACTACAGACAAATTTTTCGTAATAGCAACTGATCTTGGTGTTGAAACTAACTCTCAGCCCAAGTGACCAGAGCTTAAATTACATTTCTGCTCGTAATTGAGCTCCACAAATTTTGATTTGGACATGTTTACATCGTAATGTATAAAGGTGGAAATGAACATTGAACTGAGTATATCTTTGTCAGTGGTTTTCTTGGTTTCTTGAAGAACAAATCGAGTCCCCATTGTACGATGCTGCGACAATAATTTTACTACCATTAATGTTCAAACCATTCTTATGGACCAACTGCTCATTTACTGCTGTACAAGAAATTTTACCACAAATTATACTCAAATTGTAATGTTTGTAGTTCAACTACAGACAAATTTTTCGTAATAGCAACTGATCTTGGTGTTGAAACTAACTCTCAGCCCAAGTGACCAGAGCTTAAATTACATTTCTGCTCGTAATTGAGCTCCACAAATTTTGATTTGGACATGTTTACATCGTAATGTATAAAGGTGGAAATGAACATTGAACTGAGTATATCTTTGTCAGTGGTTTTCTTGGTTTCTTGAAGAACAAATCGAGTCCCCATTGTACGATGCTGCGACAATAATTTTACTACCATTAATGTTCAAACCATTCTTATGGACCAACTGCTCATTTACTGCTGTACAAGAAATTTTACCACAAATTATACTCAAATTGTAATGTTTGTAGTTCAACTACAGACAAATTTTTCGTAATAGCAACTGATCTTGGTGTTGAAACTAACTCTCAGCCCAAGTGACCAGAGCTTAAATTACATTTCTGCTCGTAATTGAGCTCCACAAATTTTGATTTGGACATGTTTACATCGTAATGTATAAAGGTGGAAATGAACATTGAACTGAGTATATCTTTGTCAGTGGTTTTCTTGGTTTCTTGAAGAATAAAGTGAATCTCCATTGTACAGTGTTGCGACAATAATATTACTACCAATAATGTTCAAACCATTCTTACGGACCAACTGCTCATTTGTTGCTGTACAATAATTTTATCACAAATAATACTCAAATTGTAATGTTTGTAGCTCATCTACGGACAAATTTTTCGTAATAGCAACTGATCTTGGTGTTGAAACTAACTCTCAGCCCAAGTGACCAGAGCTTAAATTGCATTTCTGCTCGTAATTGAGCTCCACAAATTTTGATTTGGACATGTTTACATCGTAATGTATAAAGGTGGAAATGAACATTGAACTGAGTATATCTTTGTCAGTGGTTTTCTTGGTTTCTTGAAGAACAAATCGAGTCCCCATTGTACGACGCTGCGACAATAATTTTACTACCATTAATGTTCAAACCATTCTTATGGACCAACTGCTCATTTACTGCTGAACAAGAAATTTCACCACAAATTATACTCAAATTGGAACGTTTGTAGTTCAACTACAGACAAATTTTTCGTAATAGCCACTGATCTTGGTGTTGAAACTAACTCTCAGCCCAAGTGACCAGAGCTTAAAATACATTTCTGCTCCTATTTAAGCTCCACAAATTTTGATTTGGACATGTTTACATCGTAATGTATAAAGGTGGGAATGAACATTGAATTGGGTATATCTTTGTCAGTGGTTTTCTTGGTTTCTTGAAGAATAAATCGAGTCTCCATTGTACGGTTCAGCAACAATAATTTTACTACCATTAATGTTCGAACCATTCTTATGGACCAACTGCTCATTTACTGCTGTACAAGAAATTTTACCACAAATTATACTCGAATTGTAATGTTTGTAGTTCAACTACAGACAAATTTTTCGTAATAGCAACTGATCTTGGTGTTGAAACTAACTCTTAGCCCAAGTGACCAGAGCTTAAATTACATTTCTGCTCGTAATTGAGCTCCACAAATTTTGATTTGGACATGTTTACATCGTAATGTAAAGAGGTGGGAATGAAAATTGAATTGAGTATACCTTTGTCAGTGGTTTTCTTGTTTTCTTGAAGAACAAATCCAGTCTCCATTGTACGTTGCTGCGATAATAATTTTATTACCATTAGTGTTCAAACTATTCTTACGGCTGCTCATATGTTGCTGAAACAACTATCACGGTACGAGTCAACTATCTGTTACTGTTGCGCTTTTGTACGTTTCCCTCAGGTATTATTCGTCCCCATTGTTTTGGTATGTTTACCCTCAATATTAAAAAGTATTTCAGTTCTTCTAGTTATTCTTCGTTTTTGTTTTTTTTTTTTTTGAGATGTGAGGAGAATATGAGCTTCAGAAGTAGGTTTGTAGAAGGAATTTTCATAAGAAGGATAGTAAGTGAGCCCATAGTCTCATCGTTTGGTTAGAATTGTTTTAAGTAAATATTCGCTGTTTAAACAATCGAATGTGTTTCAGACTGAGGTGCATTTGTTGGTACAATTAACTGAGATTGAAGGAAATAGTGGAAACGTCTAGTCCTTACCTACAGCTGCGAGGATCCTTAAAACGCCGCATGTTTTATTAACTATGTTAACTTCAATGTAAGGACTAATTATGCTTCAGGGAATATTACTTGTTGAACTAATATACATCATTATTAAACAACTATATTTAATTACAGCACATATACAATATCATACATCAAAGGATAATAATACGGGGAGATTAAAAAATATAAATCTATCACTTATTCATGTTGGTCATTTAAATTCTGATGTAACAATGTAACTTTCGTAATAAAATTACAAGATTATCACACAATCGATGAATCGAATACATTTATCGACGACGATATACACTCATCTCTTCTACAACAATCTAAAAATTCATCGAATGTCACAACACCATCTTGATTTTTGTCCATTTTCTGAAAAAACAGTCATATTATATTTGTAACAAATTATACAAGTACGATATTCTCATTACAATGGCCTTTCTTATTAACTAAAATATTTCCTAAAATGTTTGCAAAACGCAACGTACAATTTTCCGTTTCTTTGTATTATGTTGTTCCTCTTTTTCCCAATTATTTTTTTCTTGTAAATATTTAGCGGTTTCTGTTGTACTCCTTGGTTTCGAGTCTTCATAAATGCAAAATGAAATAGTTTGTTTCTCCAAACAAAAGTCTACTTTGCTTGCTAAGTCAATGATTATTGAAAAATACCGAACCCGAACTACTAATCGAAAAATACAAATGAAGGGTACAATTCATTCGGTTTAAAGTGGATTTACCTATAAACGTCTGTGAAGCAGCTTGCACGAATGTATATTGTTGAAAGCGGTTACGTATGATTACATTTCTTCAAATTCAATCAAAAACATAGCATCCGTGTATACGTTTCCTATTCTAATAGCACTTACTGTAAAAATCATTTCGACTCTTTCCTTTATCGTGAAGTCATCTACACTGGGATTAGACATTTTCCCCATTAAATCGTAAATAGCCGAGACAATGTCTGTCATTTCTTCCCTTGTAATACAACCATCGCCGTTTATGTCGTACAAGCTAAAAATCCAGCGCATCTTTTCATCCATAGTTCCTCGAGACAGCACAGATAGACATTGAAGGAAATTCTGGAAAACAACACACGTTATCTATATAAATGTTTAAACTAGTTTTCAACAAAAAAAATTCAGATTAAATATTTTCGCAAACAATACGTCGAAATCGCGTTATACAATCTATTGTATTATATATTTCACTTGTTATTTATTCTTCATGTACAATGTTTTCACTGAATGGTGGTCCCAGCGAATGGTGTCTTGTACTTCACAAGTGATTAACAATTCCCAATTGCTCTGTATCGTCCTATTTTCAAATAGGCTTTATGTTCTTTAGGTCTAGTTTCTTCTTTTTCCTTCATGTATGAAGTATTCCCTTCAATCGTAACAGTTGTTTAATTAAAACGATTTGATTTTTTTTCAAAGCAGAAGATGGCTTTCATTTTTAAATTCTAGTTCTTAGAAAGGTACATTAAGGGTAAACACTAAAACTAAAGACAGCAGAGAGTAACAATGAAAGGGGTATGCACAAAGCGTTTACTAATCAAGCAGCATAACAATGAGTGCATTACCAAGTATATTACATAACTGGAGCAGTACGGATTTGAATTCTCTGCCTTTGCCACATTAGATAATTATTTTATTCTCAAGTTTATCTACGTATCTACCCGCTGTAATTAATTTTCATATCATTGATCTTCTACAAGAGGAAATTTATGAAGGGCAAAATATATACTAAAAAATAGAATATATTATATGCAGAAAAATTGCACCACTTTTTTTGCAAAACAATTGTAAAGCGTTGTTATGAATTTTAAATGCTTCAGCGTACTTGTTTGTATCTCATAGTCATTATATCGTCCCTTACACCATCAGTAACATCATATTTATGTAAAGTACCTTGAAATTTGAAATTAAAAGCGAACATGAGTTCTACAGTAACAAAGAAATATGTCGCTGTTCTGGAATTTCTACATCAACCACGACCGTTATGGGTAATTATTTTCGAATTTCATTTACAGAATTTATAAATTTAAATCAGTTAATAATGGGTTATACAAACTCCAGCCTCGTTTAGAATCAGACAATTTCCTTTATATAAACGAATTAAGTTGGACTAATTCCAATGGCGACAAAGTTTGTTCATCAATTTACTGACTTGCGCCAGCTCTCCGGTCTTCTTGCATAACAATTTTGCACTATGTACAACAAACGGTTACTTCAGTTGTACATTGTGGAATCTGGTCGCCGTTTTAATACAAAAAAATATATCCATATCTATGCTCATTAATAATATTTTTAAGGGCACTGCAATTTAGCATAATAACAACAACTTGGTACCTAATGGGTACAACCGAAAGAAGAAAATCGAAATTTAATCTTTAAGTCCTTTTAAGACTTCTTAGCGGACTTTAGTCGTTTCTTTCTAACATTTCCTGTTTGAATGCTAAGGATCAAGCAGAAGTTGATCCACATTTTTAACAGTCGCCGTGACAAATGCTGCCATTTCGTCATTTTGACAACATTGTATTTTATAACTTCCCTTGCTACTTCTGGCACAACGTAATATCATTCAGTTAGAAAAAGCAATAAAATTGCGATTTTCAAATATCATGGACGCTTTATCTAGACTACTTTCGCCTAAAAAATCGTCTGGCTATTGAGGTCGCATTCCATAGAAAAAAGCACTTGAATAAAATCTTTGAAAAAAATCGGAGGGTGTATCCTCTTCTTTTGTTTTGTCTATACTCAATAAAGTATTGTCCTCGCTAACAGTTAACAAGTTTACTTAAAGATAGACAAATACATCAAGAAAAACAAGTAATGTGTGTACTCGCGTGTCTTGATGGAGTCGAATTTTTTAGCAATGAGATAGCAGCTTTTACTCTTCCAAAAGAGTTAACTTCAACAAAATTTTAAATGATTCAGATGACGAGGCAAAATTTAAGGACAAGTGTATTAAAAATGGTTTTGCTTTTTATATTATAGAAATGTTTTTGGTTTCAAATTTGTATACTTTTAAAAATCATTTCTTGGCTTCATTGAATATGCGTACTTCTTCCTCTGTTACAATTCCAGTAAAACAATAGCTTTGCTTTACTGTCCCATAACAATAGAGAGTGTAACTACATTCTCGTGAAAAAGGATTCGCCTGGTCAGCTTTGAAAGTGCAAGAATAATGAGAAGTAAACTTAAAATAAGCGTTACTTCTGCAAGGCTTTGAATTTTGCAAGAAAGCCTTTTCAGAAAATATCCCTTCAGAGCAAATATGCCTCACAGCTAAATCACTTAAATTTAATTTACTGGAATGTTTAGTAATTGATACACATATAAGAAGTTCAATATAAAGCAATCCTTAATGACCAAACTGAAATGGATGAGTTACCGTTTTGAAACTTATGTACGTTGAACATTTGCCTATCCCGTCACCAGATATTGTAGAATTTGAAAAAATGTGGTAGTTTAAAAAAATCTGATGCTAAACTGAAACCTGTCAGCGAAGCAATTACCACAACTAAGCGTTTCCCCGTAGATTGTTTTATATTCCTTAGAAACTCTTATCTAAAATCATCAATTTCTTCAACATTAAAATCTATCTTCAGCCAGTTTCGATAAAAATCATTCGTAAAAGGTTATTCTCAATGAACTTCAGACCGTATTTTGACTTATCCTATCATCCTAAGCAACTCGAATTAAATGCAGGCCATTCCATGTAAGGATCTTGAGAGGCTCCTTTCACTAATTCTCTGTTGAATGGGATATGAAAAATAGATCTCACACATATGATCACTTTACAGTATTACCTCATGCATTCGGTAATTTTGTCTCGATTTTTATTCGATTCCGTTTCCTAAATAAGCAAAACAGGAGGTTAAATGATAAAGTTGCCGAATTATTCTAGACATGTTTACTTGAAAATTTCGGAGATAAAGGTTCATATTTTAACAGCAACGAAGCAATTTTGTTACACCAACTGATTTCCAATCTTGCTGTTCCTATTTATTTAGACCTGCAAATGGATATGCCTTAATAATAATCTAGAGCGAAGGATTAAAATAAAATAGACACTAAATCTAAATGCAAATGGCATGTCATTGCCTGACATCCTCTATTTGAGAAGTTCCATCGTTAGAGCGACTCAAGTTTCAATTAAAATAAAAGCACGAAGATCCGTTTACATTCCCTATCAACATTGGACTCCCGTCTCTAAGGCGAAAACCTTTTAATGAAACGATATTTAAAAAACACTCTCCAGGCACGTTTTTTGAGCCTTCACTTCATTGACAATGGCATTTAAATTCTGCGAATTTTTTGTTGGTTTGTTGTGAACTTTGAATTTTAAGATCAGCAAGGCTTTTTTACATCTACTTAGTAACTGTAGGCACACTGAGAAAAAAGCAAGACTGCTGTCGTAGACCGATTATCGTGCAATGTTTATCACTTCACACGTTTCAGAAGGAAATCCTCAGAGTTTCAATTATATAATTTCATGAAACTAATTTATTTCAATAATAGAAAGGTGGTAGATGCAAAGTAAATTTCTTTCTTCAGTTTTCATCAATTACTAACTAACTTAATCCATTTTATTGCTCCTCATATTGTTTTACTTAATGACTGCATTTTCCTGTGAAATCCCTTCATATCGCTCAATCTTGCATGGTCGATTCTATGCTATAGTAAAATTCTTTAATTTAAACGTATGAACGTATTTATGTAAATTTGTATATGTATATACTTTCTTATTTTATTACGTTGAAATCCATTTTCGAATATCTTTTTAAATGTTAAAAAGATTCGACGATTTGAATTCAATTTTATACTTAAAGCTGACCTCGGATAAAAACTTACGAGAATCGAATGGCATTTTATGAGAAACGGATACGGCGCAAAAATCGAAAGAAGTTTGCCTTTGCATAGAACCTAAGAGGATGTGGAAATCTGTAAGCGGGTATGTGATGAAGCGTAGGATGCATCGAGATTAGAATCCCGAAAAATGTAAAATAATTACTCGAGAGTCAACTCAGCGAGTATTCTTGAATCGAATAAGAACAAAGGAATAGAGCATTCACAACTCTGAATCGAAAGCTATATAAAGATTTAGATAATCGAAGATAGAAGTGTTCATGATGTTACACCGAACACATCTAGATCAGGTGAGGGGCAGTGGCGTAGTAAACTTTTCCGGGGGTAGGGTTATGTGGTTATGGAGAAGGAAGGCAATGTTTACAGATTAAACTTGCCTGCCTGTGCGCAGAACAATAATTTCCGGTCTCAATCAAGTTTGGTATGGGGTGCGACACCCGAGGTCGTGTGTATCATCTATCTATCAACAGAGATAACGTCAACTTCAAGGCAATTGCCCGTGTAACTCGTATACCCCATTGATACGGTAGTTACGCTCCTGGGGAGAAGCACAGTATTCACAACTTTTCAGTAAAAATAACAGTGATGTGACTGGTCCACCTTGACCTTCTGCTTCCAGCTTCTGCTACCATATCTAACTCTTTCAAAAATTCCCTAATTATGTGTCCATCATGTGCTTTCTTAGTTGGTCCAAAATTTGTTGTGGAAAGTTTATAATATTTGAAAATCTTGTATAAATATCGGTGTCAAACTAGAGAATATTCCGCAAATATCTTAAGTAAGCCACCAAGCACTTTGAGTAGCAGAAGTTTAGTTTCGTTGGTGTTTGATAATCAATTTCCTCGGAAGATTAGAGAGATTGCAAGTTTCAACCATTATTCCGACAACTATTTTAAGATAATTTATACACCATAACGAAAACAGACTATAATCGAAACTTTTCAGCGCTAGCAAAGGCTTTTCTTTTTAGCTTGACAAGTATATGCGTTTGTAAAGCTTTGTCAGTATCTAGTATAATTATATAAAAGTTGAATCAATGCAAATATTCAAATAATTATCGTCGAAGCATCTCATATAAACCAATTAGCAGGTGATCGCAATGAAAACTTAATGCATTGTCAGTTTTCTCGTGGCTTTTAAGTGAATTTACCATTTGCCGCACCTAAATTTATGCAGACGGCGAAAATCCATAAAATTAAAATAAGTAT